CACACTCACACACTCTCTCTCACTCTCACTCTCACACACACTCTCACTCTCACTCACACTCTCTCACTCTCATTCACACACACTCACACACTCTCTCTCACTCTCATTCACACACTCACACACTCTCACTCACACACACTCTCACACTCACACACTCTCTCTCTCTCTCTCTCTCTCTCACTCACACTCTCTCTCACTCTCTCTCTCTCACACACACACGCACACACACACTCTCTCTCTCTCTCTCTCTCTCTCTCTCTCTCACACACACACACACACACACTCAAACTCACAAGCCCTTGCAATATGCATATGGCGATACATTGGCGACTTTGATCATCTCAATATATCCCGCAGCCCTGTTAGCTCTGCATTCAACAGCACTCGTCTCTGACACACTGAATGCAGATATCTTCACACACACACACACACACTCAAACTCACAAGCCCTTGCAATATGCATATGGCGATACATTGGCGACTTTGATCATCTCAATATATCCCGCAGCCCTGTTAGCTCTGCATTCAACAGCACTCGTCTCTGACACACTGAATGCAGATATCTGACAGCTACAGCTCACTAAACCCGCGCTTGGCCTGTACTGGGATCAGTGGAGTATAGTGACGTGTGTGTGAGGTTTGAGGGAGCTGATCTGAGCTGCAGTTGTCATGTGTTTGTTTATGAGCACTGGGAAACACGCTTGCATTGACTGACCTCTCACACTGGTTTGAAAGAGCATTAAAATTTAGTGTGTGTTTAGAATGGAATGCAAGGGCACTGCGTACTGAATGATATAATATAAAGATAGCATGTTAAACAATATGCAGTATCATGTAATGATAAATATTTAAAATAGTAGTAGTATAATATGCTCAGTTATACACACATGACCTTAGTACAGTGATTTAGTTAATATCTTGGAAATAAAGCAGCTATTTAGTGTTTTAGTCTGCTTTTGTGTAAAATCATCCTGACTGACCGTTTTCTCTCTGATCAAATGAGTCAAGACGGAAAACGTATGCAGTATGGCTTCCGGAGCACGTGTTCACAGAAAAGGAAGGTCAGCTTGAGTGCAGTGTATTGTTGTAAACTCAAGGTTCCCAGCACAGTCGCTGAAAACCTAGAAATGACGTAGAAACTGTGATATCCAATCCAAATAGTCTTTGAGAATTAAAATATCCTACGTTTGATCTGCTCTGAAATATTTCATTGGCTAAACATTGATGAAATCATCCATTTGTTGGTTAGTTGCTCATTCTGACCGACCTAATTTTTTAATAATCACTGTGAAGCTGTATTGAATAAAGCTCTGTAGAAATAAAGGTGACATGACTTGACTAAATGTTAACTGACTGTAATAAGATCACTTATGTGACTCATTGGGTGGCAAATGGTAATAACCAAGAAGCTTCTCAAAAGATCAAATCAGCTGGTGAATGGCATTGACGTCTTTTATTTATTTTTTTGTCGTGTTGGAAAAACTTGCACACATACAGAAGTGAAATTGCCTTAGCCATAGTAAAATCACTAACACACAGCCTTGTGTGGCCTATTGCTTTTGTAAAACAGCAATGTGATAAAAGACACGTTCAGTAAATATCTGTTATAATGCTAGTTAGGTGTTGCAGGTATTCATGCATGCATAAAATTGGTCAAATGTGTATAATATGCATACTGCATACTTTAAATTTGCTTCTGTTGCTGCCCTCTCACTGATTTGTTAAACACCATAGTGTTGCTATGAAGCTTTCATGTTGTGGTATTTTCCAGTCAGCTGTGAACAGATTTGCTGTGATCAGTGAAGCTTAACGTGGAGCAGGTGGCAGCTTTATGAGATGAATGTATTTGACGTCCTGCCTGTTCCTAAACATAGGCCAGACAACCATTCATACAATCAGTAAGCTTTATATTTTTCAGGGTGTGAAGTTAGATGATCTATGCAAGTTTTCAGGGTGTGATTTGCACCAAATGTATGTAACACACTGTTATGACACGAATATAGACTGTTGTTTAGAATTTCATTAGCCAAGTGTCATTATAAATATGAAAATAAGTTGAAGTTATAGTTAGTGTGGGAGAAGAATAGTGTTTGGGATGAATTTATACTCAAATTAAAGAGGTTTATGTGCTGTCTGTGCTATTGTAGTGGCAAATTTGCTGAAGGAATTGACCTATTGGTAAGCCCCTCCCCTCAAACGCAGACGAGCCAATGGCAGTCGAGTATCAGTTGCACGGGGAGCGGAACTCGGACATCTTTAGGTTTCAGCACCATAGACAAACATGGGAAGATGCGAAGCTCGCATTGCTTTAATGGTGTTTATGCTACAAAAATGGAAAGACGATGTGCCTGGGGTACTTGTAACACTGATTCCATTTATCCTGAGAGGATGGGCAATGTAATTTATTTTATTCCATTTCCTAAATCCAACCAAAACAGAGTAAAATGTCCCGAAGCATTCAGCCCCAGTCACAATGAAGACGAAAACGTTTTATATATCCCTCCATGGCATATTTAAGTCCCACTTGAAGGTCCATCAGAAACACCTCGGAAGAAGGTTTTCACTGACTGCTGTCATTGTAAGACCGTGAGCAGCTCTGTTTGTTTGTCCGAGTGAGCAACAGTAACTAAGGGGGGCGGGGCTTATCAATAGGTCAATTGAGCAACATTTCTACAAAGTAACACTTGCACAGCACAAGACTACACAATCTAGTGTACTTGCTAGTGTACTCTATCACTCAACCTCTGCAGTATCAGCCAGCGTGTTAAAATGCTGAAAGTTCACTCGACTACACGCCACATCTGGATATATACCCAGTCATAATGCTCCTCTCTGTCTTATAACATCTCTCTTAAACAGAATTCTGCTTACCACTAGTGATCAGCTCTTCGTGATAAGATCCAGGAGTTTGCACTTTTGCATTGTTGATGTGTTGATGTATTGTTGCGAATCATGTAAAGCAACAAAAGGCAAGAATGACTTCATCATTTAGATTGAAAATGATGCACAAATCAGTGATGTTTCACGCAAGTGAGGTTTTCTAGCAGAAGTGTGTTTATGAATTCCTCACTGTCATGCGTTCACATTATACTACAGAATTCTGCTTACCACTAGTGATCAGCTCTTCGTGATAAGATCCAGGAGTTTGCACTTTTGCATTGTTGATGTGTTGATGTATTGTTGCGAATCATGTAAAGCAACAAAAGGCAAGAATGACTTCATCATTTAGAACGGATTGAAAATGATGCACAAATCAGTGATGTTTCACGCAAGTGAGGTTTTCTAGCAGAAGTGTGTTTATGAATTCCTCACTGTCATGCGTTCACATTATACAGAAGACATTTTAAGAAAGTTTTTTTTAGTTAAACATTATTTCTTTTTTACTGACACAAAAATGACTAAACATTGATATCAATCCCATTTATGGTGAGGCGATGCAGCTGCTGGCAAACAATCAGAAGAGTGCTATGCAGTTAAGAAAGAGGCCACAGGATGTTGTGAAAGGGGTCTTCCTGTCTCAGAAAGAGAGAAAGAGAGAGACTGTATTGAAACAGACAACTCTGTGTGACATAAACAACTTATATTGATAACAACAAGACATATTCTTGATCACATATGTGACCCTGGACCACAAAACCAGTCATTGTTTTGCTCCAGGGTCACATATTATATTGTTATTCAAACTATAGTTGCTCGGAATCTATACAGTAAAAGATGTTATAAAGAACCGGTACTCTTTAAAACTGTGTTTCTGTATCAGTTGTAACAGAATCTCATTGTCGAGGTGTGTAAATGATGATGCTGGAAATAATGTCTTGTTATCGTGCAGTGAGCTGAAGAGAGAAGGCTCCAGAGCAAACGGAGAGGCGCTCGGGAGGAAGAGATCCCGCATGACCGAGAGACTTGCTGAAGACTTGGACAGCTCGATGGAGATCGCCGAGGAGGACGATGAAGACTACGTCAGTTCACTTACTTTTGCTCTTCATCTTTTGTTTTCAGATTTCTCTGGCTGGTTTTATGTAGCAGTGACGTGTGGGTAGGAAAGAAAGAGGTCATTGTGGCGAGAAATGTTTTTAACAGTCCCTAAAATCGAGTGCCATTATTTTCTGGCTGCAGCCTCAAAAGACTCAGAACATCGTAATGATACACATGTAAACCGGTACACATCTGCCTTTTTAAACACTAGTACCTGTGGTACCTGTACACAATACTGGTCAGTGTTGATAAACAAGAGTAAACAAGGTTGTTTTTTTTTTTTTTTCATTTCGTTTCAGAATAATTAAAAAAATCTCTTTCTTCTGCATAATTAATCTTTGCCTTGTTAAAAACAATATGTAAACAGCCTTAAAATGAGATTTGCTCGTAAAGCTAAAGGTGTTGCATTACATGAGGGCATGTGTTTGCTTCCTGACAGATCACACACAAGCTGATCTCATACAGTAGATCTCATATGAAAAGATGTCAGGATGATACAGTGATCTGTATGTTTCTGTTCTGGAAGCCACTGCAGATTTCACATTAGATTCCTGTTTTGATGTGTGTGTGTGTGTGTGTGTGTGTGTGTGTGTGTGTGTGTGTTGGTGTGTGTGTGT